AACCAACACTCAGGCTTTCAGAAACAGTTGTTCTCCAGGGAAATGATGGAAAATGAACGGCCCCACGAACAAAAGCCTCAAGTCTCAGAACAAACCTGACTGTGAGCAGCGCTGTCACATCGCATCGTCTTCATTTCTCTTTTTTACATTTCCCGAGTCGCATTTGTGAAAAAGTAAGACGTTGTTCATTTCTCAACTTAAAAGTTCTCTATGTAAAACGGCGGCAACGTTTATTACATGAAGTGAATAGAGCTTGTGTTTGTCTTTCACAGCAAGAAGATCCTGGCTTCTCCCTGTGTCCAAGAAGGTTTCCTCAGGGTGCTCCGGTTCCCCCTACTACTAAAAACATGTACAATAGTTCAGGGTGAGTGTCATTGTGGGGTAACCAGTGGGGGCAGGTCCTGGCTCAAAAAGATCCATGAGCAAGTGCGCTGACATGTTTGCAATCTCACTCCGAGACGGTGGGGGTGTACCTAGAAAGAGAATTACCCAATGCTTTTGTATGGCGTCTTCTTACCTCTCGAAAACGTCTTTACAGGATGGTCCAAAAGTCGCTCTTGGTCCAGATGCTGTCAATGCTGAGGGGAGTATTGTTTTTTGGACCAGTCTAGTTTTGCTTCTGTGGACTTTTAACACTTAAATGTTCACTCCTTAAAGAAAGCAATGTATTTTGTAGATGTAGGAGCGCTAAAAACACAAATATATGCTTTACCAAATGGTTGAGATACAGTTTGATGGTAAAAGTGTCTAGAATCAAGTGATAGAGATTTCCCAAATGAGGTAGATTTCAGCTCCAAGCTTCAAAGAGATAATGTTACTCAAAAAGCTTACATGTAAATGCACTCGTTAAATGAATGTGGCTAGTGCCGGTTAACGCATGCGCAAATGCTTTTTTTCAAATCTATCTGCGCTGCGGCCATCTTGAAACTCACAGAAGGCAAAAGTGGCGGCACATTAGTTTCATCGTAGGAGATAAGCGTCACTACGTCCGTTAATATTTACGGTCTGTGTGGACAACGGATGTAAATTATCCCAAGAGTACAATCCCGTGTACAAATCTGCTAATTAATGTTACCTGTCTTCGAAGTTACAGAACCTACTCCATGATAGAGAATATGCATCATAGAGAACGTAAAAAAGTGCCTGAATGTAGGACTGCTTTAAAATCTCTGTGTCTCAGTGCCTGGAGCCGCTGTTTGGAATAATTTATCAGATGAATTAAAGACATGCTCAAACCTGATTTCATTTAAAAGAACGTTTAAATAAATATGTATTGCAGAAAGAAAGAGAGTGAGGCCTTGAGCACAGAGCGAGAAGTGGGAGAGAGGTGTAGGGTCGGAGAGTGTTGGGCCTGTGTCTGTCTTATACCATCGGTGGTAGTGTTGTAATACTGTTTGTGCTGTATAATTGTGTGTTTGAGAATTCTACTGCATGATATTGTTAAAGCGGTGTGTGTGTGTGTGTGTGTGTGTGTGTGTGTGTGTGTGTGTGTGTGTGTGTGCGTACTTCAAACTAGGTACAAGTTATTTTGTCTATTATATCAAAATGTAAGAGAGTAGTAAGTAATGTTTATTTATATACCGCCTTTCACAGACCAGAGTCACAAAGTGGTTCACAATTGTTATTTTTAGGCAATTGTCTCTGACTCCACACAGAGATGGGAGCGAGGTCAGTACAGAAGGCGCATATCAGACCTATTGTACATGTTTTTAGTGGTAGGGGAAACCGGAGCACCCGGAGAAAACCTTCGCAGACACGGGGAGAACATGCAAAATCCCCTCAGAAAGCCCCTGTTCCGACCGGGATTCGAACCCAGGACCTTCTTTCGGAGATGCGAGCGTGCTATCCACTCAGGCATCGTGCCGCATTTGTAAAAACATGCATAATAATAAAAATGACTATAATTCAAGTACATGTTTAAGACTCGACAAGTACAAATCAAGGGAGTGGTGCTTTGAAACTTGGGTGGCAGCTACGCCCCCCCGTCCCCCCCTCCCCTCCCCCGACCCAGAAATAGATTAATAAAGGGGAAGAAAATGACATGACATGACATGACTTTCACAAATTATAAGTGGCTGGGTTTTTAAAGTAAGCTGCATCTTTCACCATATTCACCATATTCATCTGTTGGTTTCAGTAAAATAAGTTCTAATTCAAATGTAAAGCAGTGAAAAGCTCACCAATAACAGGAGACTGAAGCCTGTGTTTATTATTCTGTTTCTGTTTCAATAATAGGACATAGCTGAGGTGAAAATGTTTAATGTTTACCAGACAAAAATACCTTTCATAGTCTTAACTCTTTAGGCACCAGAGGTTTTTTCCCAAGACGCTCAATTTTGACATCTTAATTTCTTAATAACTTAAAATTGAGAAGCGATAGAGGCTTTATGTAAATCAGAGAAATCATAATGATGGCCCAAAGTTTATGTAAGAATTAAATGTACCCATCTAAATAGCATATTATGACTTCATATGGATTTTCCTGAAATATATATATATGTATGTATTTAATGACAGACACAGATCACTAGAAAACACACAAGGGTCAGGGAAATAGTAAAAGAGTGTAAATCATTGTGTGGCAGGAGTTAGAATGAATGTTGACATCCTGCTTTAACACAATACGTCATTTTAAACAGTACCTTTTGAATGCGCTGGAACCTGCAGCTAGTTTGAGTAGCTCTGAAGCAGTTGTTTTGTGCTTTACAATTGTTATTTTTCTTGATTGAATGTACCTTCAAATGTTACTGCAGTAGTGTAAATGGTTTAACACGGGTTCAGACCAGAGCAGAGGATTCATGGTCTGAACCAAGCGGATCAAGCAGAAATCCACTGAACTTTTAGAAAAATGCTAATGAAGCATTTCGCCTTTTTGGACCAGGGATCAATAAAGTACTGTATCTATCTACTGTCAACAGTGGCGCCTAGAGGGTTAAGAATAAGTGTGTTGTTTGCCAAAAGAGGCCTTTAGATCACACATTTCAGTTGTTTCTTGTAAGTTCATTGCTAATATCACTTACAATTTAGAAAAAAAATAAAAATAAATCATGAAATAAATCAAACAGGCACTTCAGTAATTTGATTTCATTTTTTTAATAAGAGGAGACCAACAGTAAAAAATAGACAATCTCTATACAAAGTAGGAAAGTAAAGAATACAGGTAAGAACAGTATGAAACACAGATTCCAAGGTCATGTTTACACAGAGTTAAGTCCAGTTAGTTGCCAATACACAGTACTGAATGCATCAAGGCACACATTGTGTATTTTGGTCTTTGAGTATCTATTTACAGTGTATTACTAACAAGGAAAGGACATCAGTAATTAAGGAATTAAGAGTTGAGGCAATACTGGCCCCTATGAGTTTTAAGACAAAAACTGCCGCTATAAATATTTACAGGAGGTCATTAAACAAGTTAAGGCTAACATTCGCAAAGGCAGTCACTCAAGTAACATTGTACTCATGGATACTACAGTCACAGATGTACGTTTACTTCATTTAAGGCCTTCGGGCGAGAGTCACAGCATGGTGAAAATGAAACGTGTATTTTTCTAAACAACAGACCCCAATTCGGCGCCACAGACCTAAAAACAAATGCAGTATGGTTTGTATGTATGTAAGATGTTAGATGTAAGACTGAACAGCACACGTTGAGTTCAAAGCACCCTTTCCATTAAGCGTGTTTAATTAAGATTGAGAATGATTAAGGCATTTAGTGATAAACATTGAAATGATGTTTTCCTGATTTCAGTGTATAACCCCTGCTATGGTTACTGCTGTTAAGACTACACACACTTCTACCACTTCCAATTTGATTTACTGACTTGGTTTTAACATAATGCCACCTTCCTCGTGTCTGCTATGGAGCGCAATCACACAGTCTCTGTTTTAACAAGCAAGACGTTAAAGATAAATCGCTGTCATGTCAGATAAAAGAATGAACAAGAATAGATATGGTACAGTAAATCCACAGGTTAAGTTGCAGAGAGCAGGCCCCTCTGCGGGTACAGTCTTCTGCCGTTTTTGCAGGCTGTTTCTAAGGCAGCTGTCTTTGGGTGACTTCCGATAAGTGCATGTAATTATTGCAGCTACAATTCGATGGTCCTCGGCTTGGCCACAGTGGAATGAACGCTCCTTTAGTCTCAGAACAAACAGTAATATACTGTACACAGGCGTCAATACTAGTGGTGAAGTAGGTCACTGTCTAGGTACAGAATGTGCTTTTAAGACACTGGCAGCAGGTAAAAAGCACCACCGCCCGCAAATCATGCCTACTTTTTTATCCAAGGAGCTTTTTTCTTTTTCTTTTTTTCTCTAAAGAAATACAAATCAAGTATTCCGGTCAGCATGTGTCCTAAAAACAAGATATAAGGCTTGATCAAAGAGAGAAAACAGCCATACAATTCTTCAAGAAACCTTTAAATACGCTGTACAAAGAGGAGGTTCCCCCAGAACTTTGGGTCTGCTGATGTTTCACATTATGGACTGAACAGTGCAAACAACAAGGACCTCAGCCCTCTCTCTCTCTCTCTCTCTCTCTGTGTTTTCTGTGTCTTCATTTCTCCTCCTCTTGTCGTCTCATAGTGGTTATGCTGCACGTCATGACACCGAGTCCATGTCCACTCTGCGTCTTGATATTCACAAGTCCGTTTCTTCATCGAAAGGTTACAAAAAAAAAAAACCATGGAATCATTGACAGCTCAAAATGTCCTTCTGGAACCGAGAGTTGGTCCTATCGTTAAGGCGAATTATAAAAAAAGTTGTGCCGTAGTAGTCCAACGTTAGTCAGGACAGAATTGTATTGCTCTTTGGTGAGGTTTCTCGAGGTTTCCCAGCAGACGTTTCACCGCTGGTATTGACATTGAAGGTAAATTAAGATCGAGTAGCTACTTGTGCACGCGGCCCACGGTTAGGACTGGGCTTATTTTTGATAAGGCAGGTGGTGCGGCTCAATATTGTGACACTCGCGGCCACAATATTGTTCTACAGGAATGCGTTCTCTACATGGATTCGCTGTCGTCTTCCATTGGCTCGTCGGAGAGGCTGCGAAAAGACAAAACGAGTGTGAGCTGCAGGTGTTGGGGTCGGGTTTGCGTTGGCGGTTTTGAGCTGTACTCACGTCTTATTGGACAGCACCCCCACGGACAGAGAGGCGAGTGCTTTGACCGCGTCCGTCTCCTCGCAGTCTCGTCTCTGGGCGCACAGATATGACAGAGACACCGACCCGCTAGAGGCCTTCAAGCTCTGCCAGTATTGACCTGTGATTGTAAAAGAGGTTGCATTTTCGTGAATAAACAGCGTTGTTGAGAGGTTTGGTTCAGCGGTGCGTCAGATGACAACACAACACCTCAGATGACAACACAACACCTCATACTTACTTTGTATTTGTATGATGGTCTGTAGGGAGCGCACTGCGTTGGCGTTGGGTTTCTGCATCACCACGTCGTCTGGTAGCGGCTCCTGAAAGAAACACGTGTAGAGTTTCAGAAGAAGATTCAGGCCTCGATTGTTCTGAAGAAAATCTGCGCTTTCATTTCGAATTCATATTTATATTGTGTGTGGCATAATCAATCTTTAAAACCATTATAAGCTATCATTCTTGCCCTAGAGCCGGAACGTCAAAGTCAGGCTCGTGGGCAAAATTCGGCCCGCAAGACAATTTTTAGTGGCCTCCGATATGATTTTCAATTATTATTATTGACTTTATGGTTATGGGCTACCAAGGCGTGTTACACATCATCTAATGAAACAGTTAAATGTGAAACAATGTTATTAACTGGTGTTGTTTTAGTTAAATCTAAACTGTAAGCACATTATTTTTCACTATACGCACAAAATCAATCAGAAAATAATAGTGAAACCCATGTCACATCAAAGTAATGTTGATTAATCTTCATTCTTCATTGTTTTATTCGGCCCCTGACCAAAATGCGTTTAACACCCCTGCCCTAGAGACTTACTATAGAATCTATTGGTGTAGCTCTTTTTGCAGGGACAGTGGTCAATTAATCAAGGGTTTGTGTGCGTGCAAATGTGTATCATCTGAACTTTGCAGTAAAGTTATTTAAGATGCACACACTGGCGTTTTACCCTTTACAGTCCAATACAAATAACAATGTAGCTATTTTATTAAGCTGTTGTTATTATTATGTTCAGACTTAATCTAGACTTGGCTTTTACACTTGTATGCCTTTATACAAATTCAAACTGATTTCTGCAAAGATCAATCCACAGCAGCGTGAAGAAACACCCCATGTACTACAGTTATGCTTGAAGAATGAGACAAGAGTTTGACCACAGCATGTTATAAATGCCTCTTGTGTATTTCTGCCCGCTGGGGAGTTTCCAGGCCCCTGAGCAGCCGCGGTAAACCCATAAATCCTGGCAAAGTGTATTATCCAAGATTCTTCAAACACACTTGTCGTTTTACCTGCAGCCCCAGCAGAGATCCCACACAGGCCTCCGAAGCGTCGCAGATGGCGGTGAGATCGTGACCTCCTTCAAGGGCCAGCACCAGCCGACCCCCTGCCAGCGTCATGAGCTGCCGGGTCAGGAATCCGAAGCCTGCCCCAGAGATACAAGTGTCAACCACAGAAAAGGACGCCGCTTACCGTAAATGACATCGTAGTAACTTCCAATATTCTTCCAAAACAAATCTATATTTTTAACCCGGGGATCCTCCCACAGCAAACTACCAACTACTCATTACTGTAATTATGGCCCGTGATGCAGCGACAACTGGGCTTTGAGCCGTAATAATCTAATAATATCTCTGGAGAACCGCGAGGAAGACTAGAGAAGAGGGAGCGTGTGGTGAGTGAGGAGCTTACATTTGGCAGAGACTTTGTAGCCTCCCAGCGGATCGGGGTTACCCTCAGCAGCGTCGAAGCCGGACGAGACCAGCACCACATCTGGGGAGAACTCCTGAGCAATGGGCATCACCACAGTTCTGAAAGAGAGAACATAGAAAGGGTTTCAAGAGAGTTCCAAAAAGAAAAAAATCTTCTTAGTTTATAGCAGTATTTCTCAACCAGTGTGCCTTGAGACGTTCTTTCAATAAATCTTATAGAGCGCCTTTCACTCACAGGGCAACACAAAGCGCTTCACAACACCCAAGGCACAAATCATCACATAAAACAAACACCAGAATCACCGTTAAAACTTTAAAATCACACAAGGAATTAAAAAATAAATAACCACAGTGCATTCAAAATAGAGATAAAATCCTTCAGTTCTAAGCACAGGCAAACAGAACAGTGTCAGAGTAGACGGCCCTCTCACATTTTCATATAGACTGTTCCAGATTTTAGCTGCAAAAATCTGAAATGCAGCCACCCCATGTTTAGTCCTGACTCTTGGCACCAGCAGGAGGCCAGTCCCTGTGCTCCTCAGAGTCCGAGCCAGTTCATATGGGACTAACATGTCACTAATGTACTTTGGTGCGAGGCCATAGAGAGGCTTATACACAAAGAGAGCTGCTTTAAAGTCCACTCTCTGAGCCACAGGAAGCCAGTGCAAAGACCTGACGGTGTTTGGTGTGCCTTTGGAGAGGATCCAATATCATTTAATTGGTCAATATAATATGAAAAGAAAATAATGCAAGAAGAAACAGATTTTTGTGCTTGTATGATTTTCTATGTACAGTATATTACACTTTGATGCAGAGGTGTCTGAACCGGTTTTCTATCAAACCCAGCAGGAGCAGAGCAGACTCCTCCCATTTCCTCAAATCTTCAGGTTAAGACTGAACTTGCTTGAGGAAATAGGTGGAGTCTGCTCTGCTCCTGCTGGGTCTGATAGAAAACCTGCAGCCACAGCGGCCCTTTCTGGACCGGTTTGGACACCTCTGCTTTAAAGAGAATAACTTTACATTGCTAATAAAGGCTGCAGAGATAAGGCTTCTGTATCAGTTTCAGCTGGTGGTGTGCCGTGTGATACTTTTCAACGAATAAAGAGTGCCACGGCCCAAAAAGGTTGGGGAACACTGGCTTATAGCATCCAGTAAAGTGTATGAAAAGCCAACAGTAGGCCTGCTTCAGTTGCTGGGAAACCTTGTCTAAAAACATACAACAGTTTTAAGAGGTGAATCATCCAGATGACTTCCTCACTGGCAGATGATTCACCGAGATTTATCCTGTGGTAGCCTTCAAACGAAAAAGAAGTGCTCTAGTTGAGAGTGTTTAGGCATATCCTTATTACTCACATTTCTTTGTTTGTTATTTATTCAGTATTGAGATCTACATGCACGCTCTAATTGCTTGGCAGAAGTAGTTACTCAACCCACAGAGCAGACACAAGTGACTTTGATCGTGATATGTTTGTTGGTATGGGGGTACAGTAGGTCCCATTCCGTTTTGTCGCCTTTCACGCGTGAATCACACGTGAGTCTCGTGTGATTCACGCGTCTTTTATTTTCCCCCTCCCAGTGATGCTGCAATGACCAAAACAACCACCAGGTGGCACTTGTGAGCAGGGTTACATTGGCGAGTTTCTGCCCCGCACACAATGACAATCTGTCATTGATCCATGCTCCCAGCAGACTCGAACGAACACGAAGTGGAACGTGAAGTTTAATGTAAGTAACTTTTCAATTGTTTTTCATGTGACAGTATATTCATTATTGTCTTTGGGTTGTGTTGCATTGTACACATGTCGTCATTGCGTCACATCAGCGTCGGCTAACATTATATTTTTAGATGCTAGGTATTTTTTCTCCTGCGTCAAAATGGAACTGAGAGATATTCAACTTTTCGTCACATGAAACAAGGCATAGCCTATGCTATGTTATCTAACGCTGGTTTAAAACTCAATTGAATATTAGTTTAGCGTTAATCGGACTAATTTCCATCCGCGGGAAATAAGGCACATGGTGTTTGCTAGCTTATGTTCCCCCGATTTACAGCTGACGGGACTTTCGTGATACTTTAGACAAATTTAGCGGTTTCCAAATATCCTGCGTGTTTTAAAAGGAGTAAAAACTTCCACACAGTTAAGTCTAAAAATGTGCACGTATGAATCAAGTACCCCGATTCTCACACGTTTCAGAAAAGGCTTCACGCGCAGCCATCCCTACGGGCTTTACAGAGAATGGTCTCAGAAAGATCCACTAATATTTGCCTTGTTCATGTGAGAGGTCAGAGGAGAATGGGCTTGGGCTGGTTTGAGACGATAGAAAGGCAACGGCATCTCAATGAACCACTCATTATAACCGAGGAATGCCGAATACCATTTAGGAACACACATAAAAAGTGAAGTACCCCAGCACTAGCATGAAATAATCAAGAAAAAAATTCCCTTGCACCTTTTGGCTAAAGGGAATTGTTTTTGTACACAGCTGTGCGTACAACTGAGGGATTTCATATATTTTCATACTGTAATGATTTAATATCTTGTTTTGAGTTGCCTTGTGTATGAATTGTGCTATACAAAACAAAACTTGCCTTGCTTATACTTAAACGCTTCATATTTTCTCACGCTGCAACGGTAGTTTGTTTTTTCTTCCCACTTGACAACTGACACATGCCCATTGCGACACATGTTGAGACGATTTTTTGGAGTACAAGTTCAATTTCAGCTCAAACTCTGCCATCATTGTTGTGCTGTTGTGTAGTTTTTTGAATGCCGTAGCAGCATTTATTTTAATTATTTGCAACGGAAAAAGTGCGCAATAAACAACATGATGTCGTAAATGTGCCTGAGTTAGCTAAGTTAAGCTAATATTCATTGGTAGTCCCGTGGGAAGATGTTAAGGCCAGTCTAAGAATAAAAAATGAATTAAAAACACAATTCACAAAATACATTAACATTGAAGGAAAACAAAAATAATACATTTTCCGTATGAGTGGTCACGAGTGTATGTCTCCACAAGCCACTTTTCGGCGTTCTTTTTGAATGAATAGAACAAGGGTGATTCTCTAATGGCCTCAGGTACTGTGTTCCACTGTTGGGACGCTTTATAGAAGAAAGGGAGGATACTGTCTTTCCTGACTGACCCTCGAGTTACTGCCTGTACTCCATCTATAATACATACACACACTTTCAGAGCTTTCTTCTATCTCGGGGATGACATATATGAGCAGGGTTTTCGAATGGCTTCAAAGTAATCAACTTGACATAAAACTCAACATAAAAGCCGTTAGCGTGACGAGCGGATGCAAAAAGTCCTGTTTAAAACTGCGCCTCTCGCCGACATTAGCACCGCTGATATATGTGAGGCGCGTGAGTAACACAGAGTCATATTGTTTGGTCAGCTTTCTGTTGTTTGTTGGACTGTAAACAGAGCTGAGTTTTCCTTAATGCTATTGTTGTGAAGGGAATAGAACGTTGCTGTCCTGGGGCAGGGTGTGTGTGGTGGGGTTCGGTGGTGGTGGAGGTAGGGGTGGGGGGGTGGGGGGCTGGGTTCTGCGGCGGTCCAGTTCAAAGCTTGAGTGCGCCAGTCTGTTTCCCATTAGAGGCTTGTCACTCTCCTCACGTCATTGACAACACAGAGAGAAGAGGAAAAACAGCCCATCTGGGATCCATTTACCTTCATTATTCTGCCTGGGGACTTTGGAGACCACCCCCCCCACCCAGCCCCCACCCTCCCCACCATACACTTTCCTTGTGCGCACATACATAAACTCGCCCACGGACGCACATATCGGGATGTGTGATGCTGTCATGGCTGCGTGCAGATGGACAATGTGAGCTCATTGATAGAACACGAGATATAAACACATAAACACCTTCCTGTGAGTGGATACATTGTGAGGGGAAATGCCAAACACTGATTATGTAAACACACACACACAAACAAGGCAGCGCACCGATCCAAATCTTCATCACTTCCAGGGACTTTTGAAGCTGAACGAATGGACTTAAAAGCGGTTATTTCAGCTGTAAACTCACAATGTCCCAATGCGACTTTCTCTAGAATAGGCCAAAATTGGCTAATGGACCTTTTAAATACTCTGGACAATGCTCTGTTGTTGATTCAGAGATCTGTAGGGCCTCTGTACGCAACATTAAACTTGTGGTATCATTTACAATTATTTTGATCAAAAAGAGCATAAATTATTGTTGTAATTTGCAATAGCGGCTGGTTTCTTTCCAGAGAGTACTGTGAATAACAAACTCAGAAAAGTCACCGTTCATACTTTACACAGAGAGCAAAGTATTTCTGTGGCTTGTAACACAACAATAGCATCACGTTGTAACTCTCCGTTCAACTTTGATTAGAAAAAAAAGCTTTGTGCAAGAATTGGCAACCGGCCTCGTACATAACTGAAACTAAATGAAATACAGTCGATGTGGCTTGCCTTAGGACACTAATAATGCATCAGTTTTATACAACGCTTAAATGGACACTCAAAGACACTTAACATGTCATTATTAATTCCCTCCATACACGGTGGTGGTAAACTACTACTGTAGCCAGAGCTGCCCTGGGGCACACTGACAGAAGCGAGGCAACCAGTTTGTGCCATCAGCCTCTCTAACCACCACCAACCATTCACACACACACCAAACTCATTCTAGGCAATGGGAGTAAAGTGTCTTTCCTAAGGACACAACGGCAGTTTGGAACTTTACAGCCGCGGCCGCCCCACTGTGGCTGGTGTTCCCAGAGGTTAAGGACACAATGACAGCAGACATCAGTGGGAGTTGATGGTGAAAGTCGAGGTCGGCAGAACCCACGACTTTCTTGCTCAAAGGCCAATGCTCTACCAACTGAGCTACTGTCGCCCTAACTACCACAGTATACACCGATTGTAAAAAAAAGGTCTATACTGTTTTCATTCCTAGAAGTACGTGTTTACTGTTTTGATTTCTCTTCCCACAGTGAGTCTTCATGACGACTTTTTTCCACTGAATATTTCTTGACATTCTATCTCTACTTTAGTAATATTATACATGTACTTATTATGGATTACTCACTGTCCATAAGTGTGTCCTTCTGTTATTGTCATTGCCAAATTCTTCTTAAACATAAACCCTTTCACATAAAAACATGTCCAGGAATTTCCAAAGCATTTTCCCAGGAATGGGGATATAACTGTGACAGGTGCACGTTAGGTTTGGTCAAAAGTAGACATGGAGGTGTAAACATGTATGCACCTTTTATAATTCATACATCCATCCATCCATTTTCTTCCCCTTAATCCATTTCTGGGTTGGGGGGGTGGCAGTCAGAGCTGCACCCAGTCACAGAGCACCAGCCCCTCACTGATCCTCCTGCAGGTGGTGAGTCCACAGGAGCTTTTATAATTCAGAAAATAATAATTAACCATCACCGCTTTACAAATAAGCGTACAATCTTTGTATAGATTATAGTAACTTTTTTTAGCTGTGACAAAACATTTTTTTCAAACATGCACAAGATACAAACAATTATTCCCAGGGAGAAATGATAATAAGAGAAACAAGAACACCTTTGCTAGGTTTGAAAAGGGATTGGTCAAAGCAAAAAGATAAGTATAAATCCAATCCCCTCTCATCCATTCAGACACAAACTACAATACAATTCAGAAAATGATATTCAGAACCCTGCAATACCCTCCAACAAAACATGTAACAGTCAATGTCACACACACACATTAGCATTAGCACCAATGGCAATATAGACAGACAAGACCAAAGCCACACTAATCCCTCCCCTCGTTCTCCTCTCTCGCTCTGGGCCTTTTATAGCCCATCTAAAATTATATATATATAAAACATTTAGCAGGCCATTTTTTTGCCCATGACATCCACTCACTCATAGTAAACACAGCAACTCTAAACATAATATTAGCTGAGATATTTATTGATCTCACACTGGATAAATGTACAAACATAATCTTTCATTGTCTTTAGTTGCTCTTATAGGAATATATTGTGTCTTTGTTCCTATATGGGCGCCCTGTAACCACGATGAGAGGAATGCATACAATAATGTCGTTTCTTGGCCGTGGACGCTTAAATACATTCGACCGCAGAATCTCAGGGCCCACCTCCTGCGTGGAGCCATTAAAGCCCTAACGCTCCCCCCGGACCCCGAGACTACAGACAAACTAATGGAAAAGATGGAGGAGGCGGGAGAAGCTGAGGGGAGCCTTATTAAAGATCAATCAGAGGAGCAGCGGAAAAGGGAGAGAGAGCATTTGGGGGCTGGGGGTGATGGAAAAAAAAAATAACGGGTGTGAGTCAGGAATAAAAGACAAAAAAACTCACAAACTTTGAAACCATAAAAGTGGAGCTATTAAAAGCTTTAATGGTTTGGTTGCAGGTGAGGGGTATGCATGGTGCAGGGGGGTTTAATGAGAACAAAACCGATTGACGTGGTTGGTAAATTGCACTTTCGCCCTATTAAAAGAGAAATGTACAAAATGGAGACTGGGGGGAGGTACCGACATTACCCTAAACTGTTTCATTCTTTCATTCATTTTCATATGATAAAGTTTTGAGGTCAAGGATTATTACGCGGTTTGAGGTGCTGAGGTTTTAAAAGTAAAAGTATATGGCCTGGTCAGGTTACAAAACAGTAAATATATCTTTAACAAATGAAAAAAATATATATATACTGTATCTCATTGGATTTTCAGATTTTAAAATGGCTCATTGTCACACTAGTTAAACCATGTCACTTGCAGATGTAGCACTTAAGCCTAGCGTACATGGACAGAGAAACTGGAGACAACTAGTTGCAAGGCGGCTTTTGGCAACTGAGAGTAGATGATGGAGATGATCAGTTGCCGAAATCGGTCGATGTGAGCGCTCTTACAACTGGAGATAAACAGTCGATCTCCAGATTCAGTCAGTTGCCCGTGTTCTACTCTTCGGCAACTAGTTGTCCTCAGATCCAGAGATATCACCCGATGTGCTCCAACAACATGTGTGTATTGCGTGTATTGCGCCCTCTACAGTTTATGTCAGAAAACACACTGTAGTTGAGGCCAGTTGCGGTCGATGTACACGCTGTTATTCCCGAGACAGGTCTGCTATTGGGATTGTCGATGTGTGCGGGGCAGCAACTCATAGGCGACGGATATAATCAGTTTCCAGTCCGATGTACGCTAGGCATTAGAATAAGTGTGTAAACTTTTCTTTAATATTGTAGAAATAATTGTCCTTGTTTAAATACATACAAACAGTTTATGTAACGGAATTGTGTTGAAATACATCAGTTAACAGGGAGCGCGTGAGATCCCAGGTATATTACAGTGAAGTTTTTGAAAAGGCGGGGGTACTGAAGGACTTGTCATTTTGATCAGCTGCTGTCTGTCTGTGCTGCTTCCCGTTGTGTCCTCCGGAGACATTAAAGAGCTCATTTTTCCACACCAAGTTGTCAGAGTGGTGTAACACAGACAATGATGAATCAAAGGCGGACTCGTGGTTTAGTTTAGTATCGTTAAATAAAATAACTTTAACTTGAGGAAATACATAAACAAGGATGAATAATAGAAACTTACAGAATCAATCAAACACAGATGAATGGGAAGTTCACTGATATGTGTCTGATTGCTGCATAAACAAAATGAACAAGTCCTTAGATGTTTGGGAACACAACTTGCCCAATATTAGTGCAATCACTTTTGTCTTGGCTCACCGCTGGTGCAATCGCGTTTGCAGCCAAAGGTATCCCATAAAGTAAACAAAACTTTACACTCTTTCTCTCCATCTATAATTTCACCAATTAGTCTTCCTTCCTCTATTGGCACATCTTCCGGTGTTGTTTACATGTGGTAAACGCAGTCCATCTGGTGTTGTAAACAAACAGCTTTTTTCAGATTTTTTGAGTCAAAATCTTTAGTAATTTGTAGGATATGACCTTTTCAATGATTCAAGATGATTTGGAAAACTGGGTCGATGGACTTTTAATAATCAAGCTAAAATATAACCATCATTGAAGGCGTCCTTTATGGGTAAAAGCAGTGTGGAGCCAATCCTCTTCCTGCTCTGATTGTGAAAACAAACATGCTCTAATCATAATCATAATTATGAGCCGTAGATCAGAAACACATGTGCCGCAACGCAAGATTGAACCAAATCAACTAAACTCCACTGTTCCGTTATTAAAATGAGTAATGTGGAAATTGCAGAAAATGGTCAATTAGAGTTTTACTTAAAGACGTGTGCTTTCCTGCTGAAACGTGGGGCCAGAGATCAATATTATCTTGACACCATTGCAACACAATCAAATGTAGAGAATTCTTAAAAGCAAGTAAGTAAGTAATCTTAATTTATACAGCGCCTTTCACAGACCAGAGTCAAAATTGTTGTGACTATTTGTCCTCTCACTCCTCACTTGGGAGTGGGGTCCATATTGATGTATTATGATAGTGGTTTAGTTCTAAATTAGTAGTCAATGTATGATTTGTGCATCTTTTCCCGGCGGCACCTGTGGGAAAATGGGGCAAAAGTGATGTTGAGGCAGTTTGTGAGCTGTGCTTTCAGGACAAGATCTTCTCACATACGTCTCACTAATAAAGCATGAGAAAGAACTCGGAGTCAGCTAAGTACGTACATTATAGTGTTGCAATAAAAAACTTTGCTTCCTGCAAGTTTGCTGACAATTATGAAATGCGGGTGCATAGGAACTTACAGCTTTATATTGGTATGGTAGTTTTTGATATGTTAGCTGCAGAGTTGGCCAGTATTAAGTATATGTACATGTAATATTATTTCGCATTGTTACATGGATGCAGAGAGCTCACCTGCAACTTTTAATCATTTCAAAGGTTGATCATAAATTAGTGAACAATATAAATATCTTTGAAATTGCAATTATATGGTTTAGTTGAGTAAATATGAAAAAAATGTCATTTCATTTAAAAATGTCCTCAGTTGCTCAAAACTACAGTATATAGGAGGACCCTCTTCTTCTATATATAAGAAACGTGATTGATTATAACCTAATTCAATCATGTGTTGCCTCCTCACATGACATACTAAACTACAAGATAAAAAAACACATTTATTTAGATGTTTCCAGCATAAACCAAAGACTTCCTCAAAAACACCTCAGATAAATGGCCTCCATCCGCAGTGGCTTGTGTTTGTACATACCATAACTGCATTCGTATGTTTGTCATTATTGGGCCTTTGCCACTGTGCCCTCTTTCCCATAATACTGTGGTGCCACGGTTTCCTAAAGCTTTGGGCTCACCAGACTACCAAACAGCCCACACTACAGAAACTTAACGGCTGCCAACCACCCACCAATGACAATTATCGAAGCCACCAGCAGGAAGCAGCCGTCTGCGCCTTGTCAAATGCACAACCTGCACACAATTTACTGTAAGGCATCATGAGTTATTGGAACGGAGGCCAGGGCCAGACACATGCTCCCCAAATGACAGGGATTATTAATTACGCAAGAGATACGTCAACGCCTGAGTCTTTGTTGTGGCTCAGAGAGGAAACTGGGGGGAATTGACAGATTATAATCCAAGCAGAAATCATAATAGGAATCAATGAGGAAACTATAGAGGAAACTTCAAAGCTTAACTAAGCACTCGTTGGCAAATGCTGTCGAAGAGTACAGTATGAAAAACTCTGTTGCACTATAGTGTCATTCAATAGATCAAAAGAAGCAGAATTTAAATCCCGGGGTCGCAGTGTGTTTTACCTGAATGCTGCAAGATACTCTGCATCTCCCATGGGTGGCTCCAGTCCTCCAGTGAAAGCAATGTTGACGTTGAAGCCTTCCCCAGAGCCTGATCCAACCTAAAAGAACACACACATTCATGGTCTGGTTAATGTGTCTCATTCGCACAACGCTTCCGAGTCGTCCACCTATCACAGATCCAGAAAAGAATATTGGCAAAAGTAGCACAAGCTGTAGTCAGTGGAGCCAGGGGAGAACAATAGTACCTTGGTTGTAGTAGACGCATGAATCGACTGACAACAACTTTGAGTGTGTAGATAATTTTTGTGTATGTGTAGTTCTCCTGTGCTGTGTTCTTTATGAAATGTTGATCAATGGGGACTACATTCCGCAGTTACAACTTACTTCTGCAGGGGAGCCACTTCCAGGGAAGAAGTTGCCGCCGTCATAACGATGTAATGATATGTACAGGACGTTGGGGTCACTGTAGAACACTTCCTGGGTACCGTTTCCATGGTGGACATCCTTTCAAGAGATTTCAAAAAAACATGTTGACGTACAGAGATTTATGTGTATGTGTATAATTGCATTTACGCCTCATACCCAGTCAACGATGAGGACCTTGCTGACGCTAAGTTTATGCTGAAGCTGCTTGGCTGCAATCGCCACCGAGTTGAAGTAACAAAACCCCCTGAAGACAAACAAAAACAAATGGTTGATACAAGTCAGCATTGTAGGAAGTATTAAAGTATGGCCATGACACAGAAGAAGTGATGTTTGCAGTATTTTTTTCCCTAAAGTAAATGTGTGTTTGAACATGTATACCCTTGTCTCAGTCCTGAATCTACAGCCTGAGTCATGGATCTAGAGCCTGTCTGTCCGTGAGAGGATCCCCGTTTCAAAATGAGCAAGGGTTTTAGAGTCATGCCTTGCCAATGCAGGGGGGTTTGTGACAATATCGGGACATTTATGGACATTGATCATCCCGCTCCCCATGGACCGATCTCATGCTGCATTTCCTGTGCTGGAATTCATTTATTCTCTGATCTGTTGTTGGCAAATTGATTACTTTTTAAAGACCCCCAAGATAACTGCTGTTGTGAATAAGGGCTATACATAAATACATTGATTTGAATTGACTTTGCAGAGACCAATATTACAGTTTCCACTTTTTTGTGCCTGACACAAATTCAGAAATTTAAAAAGTTGATCCGTCATTTGTGGGAAACAAGTTGTTCATAGCCTGTCCATCCCTGGCTAAATCTCTCATAAACAGAATGATAGTGTTTAATGTGAGGAAAGACAGGAAGGCACTGTCGTAAAACAGTGCATTCGTTTCATGTGTTTTTGACAACATTACATTTACTTCCATTCATTTCCGACACACATCCTCCAACCGCTACATGCCTGGCTTACACCATAATGCCAACCTTTAAACCAACTTTACAGGCAGCATCGCGGTCCCCGGAGGCTCTGTGGAAACTGATTTAGCCGCCGCGGGCCTAATAAATGCAGCCACACAGAAGCACACTTACATGGGATTGGAGGGGTCCGCGTGGTGCCCTGGTGGTCTGACCACAGCAAAGCCATTCTGTACGGAAGAAAAAAGAGATGTAATTAATGACTGCTCCACAAGACAGTTGCTGTTTGTTTGAAGAAATTTGCAGCAACCTTTTTGAGGATATCTTGAAATGTTGTCCATGTTGGAAGTTAAAATACTATTAAGTCCATCGAGATATGAGTAGTTTAACGCTTAAGTAATTCATTCAAAAGTGAAATTTTAACCTGGATTCAAGATATAACTTAAAGTATATTGTCTTCATGTTGTTAGAAAACCTGTCTGCATGTCAGAAAAAAAATTGCATGCATGTGAAAAGTAGTCAGAGTATTAAATTGTTTTGAGAGTGAGGAAGTAGTTTGTTTGTGGTTTGTAAGTTGGGGACGCCAGCTTTAAACTAAGAAAACCCATTTGACATTTAGTACAAAAACAATAAGTTAAACCAAGTACAATCAAATGTATTATTCTAAGTTCAAATCAATGTTATCTAGATCAAATAAATGTCTTTGCAATAGGCTGTAAAGTAGGGCTCACCTTGAGTTCTCCTTTGGCCACTTTGAGAGCCAGCTCCACCACGCTCCCCGCCGCCGTCCGTGACGCTGTGGATGTGTGCACCTCGTTCCAAATGGTGTCATTATCAACCTGCAAAACAAATATTATTAACAACTTGTAATCAATCAATCAATACCTCCACATCCTCAAAAAAATTTATGAGAAAAACACATCACAATTTCCCTCAAATATTTTTTTTCCTGATTAAATCTTACAATGTTTATGACAAAAAAATGCAATTTGATATTTTGACAATTGTTCTTCCCGACTTGTTAAAAAGTCTTTCCAAAGGGTCAAATTCTCTCAGCCATCTGCTCGTATGTTTAGCATGTATTTATTTTTTCCATTTGTGAAAGACAAACAGATGTGTTTCTTGGCATTTTTGCAAGTATTGTGTTTTAGCTGTTTATATTTAAATTCCCCCGAGGCCACAAAGTAATATTTAGATATTCAATTCGAAAAGACGCCCGACATCCAGCTGTGATTGGACATCTACATCATTCTTTCCCCTCTCTTCTTCTCCGTTTGTTCATAAAGCGGCATTACTGTCCATCTGGCTGACTGACGATGAAATCCGAAGCATTTCTTTTATCTTGGCTCGTGCACATGCGGTTCCCATTAGTGAGACTTGTCATGGTCAGACACGGACTGTCAGGCAAAAGTTAGCAAAGCGTCCGGCCAATTCTTTTTTCCTCTTTAATATCCTGCCTTCTCTCTGTCTCTCTCCTAATGTCCTTGGTCGTTGTTCTTTTGAGATAATCTTGCTTTTCCTCAACACAGTGATTGAACTGAATTTCTTTCATAAGTCTTTACTACAGAACTGTATCTTACCCCGACGCCGCCACACGGCAACATCACCAACGTTCTTTGAGAGAGGATGCCTGTGAAAACAACAGATATACTATTGATTTACCAATGGCAAAAGTAACCTAACATTAGTCACAAGTTAACAAAACTATTCTTAACTGACCAGCCAACTTGCGGTTGTCCAGTTTGAGTCTGTTGAGTGGGTTGGTGCCGTACAGCAGCACATGCTTCTCTGAGTGAACGGACTGCAACTCCTCCAGTGTCGCCTTTCGCCCATGAATATGCTATTGGGACAAACACAATGTATCACCTCTATTACTTTAAATTAGAAATTATTTCTAGACAGAAATTAAATATGTTTTTTTATTATTATTATTGTGTTAGCATCAGATTTTTTTCTTTGTCAACATTTAATGTTAAACAGACAAAAGGTGGAGCCCTGAAACATAAGCTACAACAATACAACATTTTATAACATAAATAAAACAGTTAAGTCAATAAAATACAACATACATACACAGCATTAATGAAACATTTTCAATACCTCACACTGGCCTTTGAGCCCTCTCTCCTGGAGGCGGGACCAGATGCTCTGGATTCTCCCAGCATGCTCTGGGTGATTACTGTTATCTCCACAGGTGCACTGGTGCTTCAGCATGCAATTATCATACACCAGACCTGAACACACGCCCATACAGAATACATAAAATAAAATATGGTGTCGAAAAGCAATGGTAGAACATTTATCTTTTACAGGCGGTAAAAAGTACCACTGACCTATTTGGAATTAGAGAAATATGAAATAAAGCAGGGCTCACCAGTTGTAAAGCGCAGCTTGCAGCTGACCTCCTGACCGGGCAAACTCAGGGTTTTCTCAGGCAGGGTCAGTGATGTGGACGCTGGGGAGGACTGTGTGCGAGACAGGGGCGGATGGACAACGCCGCCTCCTGCTCGTAACACAGGCACAGTCAGAGTCTTCATGTGATGCTGAAGCTGCTGCAACTCTTTCTGCTGCTCCCACAGCAAGGACTACACAGCACAAAACCACAGAAACATAATTAGATTATAATTAAATGATCAAATGCCACTTCAAACTGGTTTACAATGAGATAATAGCTTGCGTCCAACATTCTTTTGAATATTTTGAAATTAGTCTATACTGAACCTGGTTGAGAATGAGGGCATGTTGCAGGTTCATCTGCTCTTCATGGGTCTTTGACTCTGTCTCCCTCAGCGACTCTGCCAGCACTCTGCTCTGATAGGGGGATTCTGAAGGTGAAGAGCCTTCCCCATCTTCTGAGTCCATCTCCTCCGAGGGGATCTGGTGCAGTCGTGGCTTCTCAATGGACTTGGACATGAGCTGTGGACAAGCTTTCATTAGTACAAATCAGTCGCCTAGGCCTTATGTATCCAAACCACAAAATGGCATTTATTGTAAATAGTATGATCGTAATTGTATTATTAGATATTATTGTTTAAGGCAGCATGCACCAAATACAGTACATTCCAACCACCTACAGTATTTCATTACACTTAAAACAGGTTGGTTCTATTGATAGTTTTACATGCATGTGCTTTCTGGACTCTGTCACATCCTTAGATCAGCTTTTCTCAGGGATATTTCTTTCAAGAATTTCAAGAAGTTATTTGCCCTTTGCAGTAAAACCACAATGGAAAAGTACAAAAAGGGCAACATGTTATCTCATAAAATAAAGACAGCATGTTGATGTCTGATTTGTTCACAAAGTTTACCTGAAGTTTCTATTTCTATTTGGACTATCAACATTTACTATTTTTGTGAGGGTCCAACATCACCATCACTAATTATCCAGTCGCTGTATGAATGGTGTCTGTGTGTAGCTGTTTCAAACCATGACGCTGCAGACAATAATAACTAATGAACAGCTGCGTGTCCAGGGGGTGCTTGTACCTTGCCCAGGGGCGTCTGCTGCTTGAGCCTCTCCAGCAGCTGTGTGTTGTGCTGCTGCTGCAGGAGGTGTAAGTGCAGTGCTCGAGGGCTGGGAGGCAGTGGCTCAGAGCGAGTTCTGCCCAGCGGTTTGTGAGGAGCAGCGCCCCCTGGAGACAGACGATCCAACTGTGAGGAGAAGTGCAGCGGGACCCCATCTAAACCTGGAACTGGTAAAAACAGTCGAGAATGACAACGGGCAAAGAAGGGATGCATGAAATGTATCAAATTCAATATGAAGATGAGATTAACATTGCTCGGCATAATTTCTTTAAAGCGCCACTAGACATTAAGTAGTAAGTAAGTAATATTTATTTATATACCGCCTTTCACCGACCAGAGTCACAAAGCGGTTTACAATTGTTATTTTTTGGGCATTTGTCCTCTCACTCCAAACAGAGATGGGAGCGGGGTCGACGAACAGGAGGCACATGCCAGAACTATTGTACATATTTTTAGTGGTAGGGGAAACCGGAGTACCCGGAGGAAACCTACGCAGACACGGGGAGAACATGCAAACTCCACTCAGAAAGGCCCTGGTCCGACCGGGATTCGAACCCAAAACCTTCTTGCTGAGAGGCGAGAGTGCTACCCACTCAGCCACCGTGTCGCCCTTAAATCATTTCAAACTCAATGATTTAAAACACTATGTTTAATACTTCATAATTAAATCACCCATGTTAAATTGTATTCTGAAAAATAATCACATAATGGGAAATTAACTTTTTATGTTTATATGGATGGTTTCCCCTTCACATGAAATAACAAACCTTCAAAAACTTATATAAATGTAAATCAATTGCATAGCACTGTTCTAAAGGCAAGTACGTTTTCTCTATTCTAAAGCAAAAAAAAGGTATATTATGCAATCTTTTAAATATAATATCATATGTGAGTGGAAATATAGGTTCTTACCAGAGAGCAGTGGAGAGTGCATCAGACCGGAAGGCTCTAGAATGATAACAGGCAGAGGGTGAGGGTTAAACTGCCCACTCTGGTCCTCTCTGCTCAGGGGGAGAAAGACCGGAGAGCCTCCCGCAGTGACCAGAGGCATCCTGCCCACCTTCAGCGAGGAGAGGTCCCCATCAGCCTGCATACACACACAGAGCGTTAGGCCAGCTCAATCCTCACATGTTATATGAATATGATTTTGATTGTTACCCGTGCATTAGCTGGAAGTCCCAGTGTGATAGTGGGCTGAGAACCAGAACTGTGAACCGTGAAGTTGGCCATAGAGCCGTCTCTGAGCAGAAGCTTCTGAGCCTGCACACAACATCACAACAGGATAATAAGACATAGTCAAGTTTTTATACTTACAAATAAAATGTATTCATATGATGTAATAGTGGACAACATAATATTATGTATTTGTATTTTCTTCTCCTTTTAACTTTATATTTTAAGATATTGCATGCAGACATAGCATGCAAAGCCGCAGCAGGTGTTGACAAAGTTTTGACTTTCTGTGATTAAATGAATAATGCAGAAACATCTGACTGTGTGCTGCTGTTCATTTAAACATGTCATTATGTCTGCTACGGCTTTACTTGGTCTATGGTAACAACCAATTTTAAACGTAAAGTACAATTGGAATCTTTCATACCTTCTGATGTATAGTTTACATTAAATGGTATAAGACACACACCTCATGTGAAAGGCCAGTAGAGGGCAGCAGTCCGTTTTCATTGGGGAGACTGTCATTGGGAGAACTACAGCCGGAGACTGGAGTGCTGCTGCTGCTGGGAGAAGAGTCTGAGGAGAAATAATGAAATGTGAAGTTTTGTTTGAGACGTCAGCAGGTAAAAAGTAAATACTATCGTACCCAGCGTTTTAACAGCTGAGGGTGCGCTCTCTTTTCGCGTCAAAGGGCTCTTCCGGGAGTTCAAGTGTTTCTTCAACTTTACCTTCAGATTGGGTTCTGAAGCTGGAATTGGAAATGCTTGTGAGTTTTATTGTTGGAACAAGAGTGAGCAAGTTGTGGGGAAGTCAATAGTTTCAAAGAGTTGAATCAGAGAGAAGGCAAAACGTGCGTGCACCTGCTCTGCGGAGTGGCGTCCCCTCAGAAGCCTCGGACACAGACTGAGACGGTGACAAGGCCAGTGGGGAAGAGGAGACACTGGGATCGGGGGCCAGATTTCTGCATAACATGATTATAAGAACATGAAACAACTGAGCAGATGTAAAAAAAAAAAACAAAAGAAAGTGGTGAAAGCAGACTCACCTATAGGGAACGGCAGGAGTGGACAAAGGGTTGGTATTTGACTTCTCCTTTTGCTTCTTCAAGATCACCTCCTGAAGCTTCTGTTTAACCAAGGAGCTGGCGACTGCGCCTACAATGAAACCAAAATCATATAGTGTACAATTCACAATTTTGAAGAGCAACTTTGTGTAGTAAATGAAAATCTTTGTGGATGTTATTTATTGTACACTTTTCATTCATTTCAATTACATATAGTAACTTACATCTCCATAATATTCAATGTCACTCCAATGCTGTGTCCCTTTGTAAGGCTCTGTGTGTCGTAGTAATGTGTAAAACCCACACAAACACAGTGGTGACAGGAGGTGTGAGGAGCGACCAAGTCAATATTGACCCACTGACTTTTGTGTGCCCAGGGCCAGAGCTAAATTTAACTTCACTGTTGTAACCGCGTTGGCCCAGGTAAATTTAGCCTCGTTGTAAAACACATGGAGATAAGGCTGTGGACATATTGTACATTACGTTTGGCAGAAAATAACAAAGGGAGCTTGGTTAAGGCAGCTCTCCCCTGAAAATGAAGAAATAATAGTGCAGTTTATGTAAATAAGTATTAAACTTGGATATCGCCATGGTGACACCACAATGGCCAGACAATGTGTAGAGTATGTAAAGACTCACTTTGACAGTGCACCAGAGTGTGCAGACTCACTTTGACAGTGCACCAGAGTGTGTAGACTCACTTTGATAGTGCACCAGAGTGTGTAGACTCACTTTGATAGTGCACCAGAGTGTGTAGACTCACTTTGATAGTGCACCAGAGTGTGTAGACTCACTTTGACCGCACCAGAGTGTGTAGACTCACTTTGATAGTGCACCAGAGTGTGCAGACTCACTTTGACAGTGCACCAGAGTGTGTAGACTCACTTTGATAGTGCACCAGAGTGTGTAGACTCACTTTGATAGTGCACCAGAGTGTGTAGACTCACTTTGATAGTGCACCAGAGTGTGTAGACTCACTTTGATAGTGCACCAGAGTGTGTAGACTCACTTTGATAGTGCACCAGAGTGTGTAGACTCACTTTGACCGCACCAGAGTGTGTAGACTCACTTTGACCGCACCAGAGTGTGTAGACTCACTTTGATAGTGCACCAGAGTGTGTAGACTCACTTTGACCGTGCACCAGAGTGTGTAGACTCACTTTGACCGCACCAGAGTGTGTAGACTCACTTTGATAGTGCACCAGAGTGTGTAGACTCACTTTGACCGTGCACCAGAGTGTGTAGACTCACTTTGATAGTGCACCAGAGTGTGTAGACTCACTTTGATAGTGCACCAGAGTGTGTAGACTCACTTTGATAGTGCACCAGAGTGTGTAGACTCACTTTGATAGTGCACCAGAGTGTGTAGACTCACTTTGATAGTGCACCAGAGTGTGTAGACTCACTTTGATAGTGCACCAGAGTGTGTAGACTCACTTTGACCGCACCAGAGTGTGTAGACTCACTTTGATAGTGCACCAGAGTGTGCAGACTCACTTTGACAGTGCACCAGAGTGTGTAGACTCACTTTGATAGTGCACCAGAGTGTGTAGACTCACTTTGATAGTGCACCAGAGTGTGTAGACTCACTTTGATAGTGCACCAGAGTGTGTAGACTCACTTTGATAGTGCACCAGAGTGTGTAGACTCACTTTGATAGTGCACCAGAGTGTGTAGACTCACTTTGACCGCACCAGAGTGTGTAGACTCACTTTGATAGTGCACCAGAGTGTGTAGACTCACTTTGACCGTGCACCAGAGTGTGTAGACTCACTTTGACCGCACCAGAGTGTGTAGACTCACTTTGATAGTGCACCAGAGTGTGTAGACTCACTTTGACCGTGCACCAGAGTGTGTAGACTCACTTTGATAGTGCACCAGAGTGTGTAGACTCACTTTGATAGTGCACCAGAGTGTGTAAAGACTCACTTTGTTGACTCTTGTCCTTGTGCTTGAGCTGCTGTAGCTCCTGCTGCTTCTCGTGCTGCTCCTGCTCCCGCCTCCTCTGCTCCATGTTAAACTGCACATCCAGAGAACACTGTTACAGGTTTTATAACTGCTTTTAATCTTAGTTTAGAATATTCCTAGTACATATAACTCTACTAAGTTGTATTGCAGATTTATTTCTACTTATTGTATTTCAGATGTATATATTCCTGCACTAGAGTATATACTGCTTCTTTATTAAATTAAAGATTGTATTGTAAAGTATAGAGCTGTGCTATCCTTAATGTTCACCGATCTTGTGCTTTGTGCTCCTCATTCCTACTGTTCTGTAACTTGTGATGCAACACTGAAATTTCCTCACTGTGGGAAGAATAAAGGATCTCTTCAACTCTTGATCTTATTATGTTTTACATGTAAGTATGACATGTGCATAGTTTAGATCTCGTACACATGATGCTGGTAAATGTTTCAGTGAGAGTTTCCTCTTAAAACGGTTTGATCCTATCACTATCTCTTGTGTGTTTGGTCTCGGTCAAATTTTTAGATCAACTTTTTCAATGAGAATTTGCAATGTTTTGTTTGTAAAAAAATAAAAATAAAAATACTATTATTAATTATTATTTTTGATTAGACAAAACTAAACTTTGATTTTGATTTCTGAAGGGTCATATTAGACGTGAATGCAAACTATAGCAGATGTCTTTACTGTCAGAAGTAAAACCTGACCTTATGATGAAACCAGTTCGGCCAACACAAACCTCTGACCTCTACCTTGACCATGTATTTAAACTACATTCAGTGGCAGAGTCCCGTGCCTACCCGGATGTGATGGTGCAATTGCTGGTGGGAGAAGGAGGCCCGGGGTGGGTGGGAGAACGGGCTGAGCAGCAGAGGCGGGTGCAGCGGCGTGAGGAGTGCGGTGTCGGAGCCCGAACGCATCCCCCGCTCCCCCGCTAGCCGCAGGTCCATGGGAAACGAGGCCGCGCACGACACTGGCACCGCCACCGTGGAACCTGGGAAGAGGAAGTGGAGCCCGGTCACAACTTTCATCAGCCTCTGTGTACACTAAACAACAGTTCAAACGCGGCAGGTAAATCACTGTTTGGAGAGACACGGAATAATAGACACTTTGACTTCACTTCAACACATGGAGGAAAACCCAAGCCAGGGTGCAAAAATAGACAGTTTCCAAAGCTGTGGGAAAAGCGAGTGCATGTGTTTATGTACAAGCAGGAAAGACGGAACACTGCTAAAAAGGCATGCAGTTGTGAACAATTGTTTTAAAACATTTGAAATATACTCCATGGTCAACAACACACACTCAATACAAAATAACTCCACAAATAAAATGAGTCAACGTTCTTTGCAACACTTACACTGGAAAGACCTCCACAAACACAGCAACACAACAATGTGACATGCTCAGACTTGAATTTGAGATTCTAAGAATTCAGTGGTAAAATGCTCAGTCCAATCAAAATATTTAGAATGGACGAACTGCATGTATTAAGTTGGGGCATACTGCAGCACAAGTTTAGAAATGTAGAAGACAACTAACCTTTGTCAACAAAACACCTCCATGATTTTGCTGTGATAAATAATGCCCACTATACAAACCATGGCCCAGAAATAGATTTAATTTCTTAAGTCGACCACAGCCATAAAAATAAGTATTGTACTAGTTTGCTATCATTATCATTCTCTATTCAAAGTGTTGGTCAACATACATACTTATGCACCTTTAATATATATATATAGAAACATATTTAAATTCTTGTATATAAAGTTAAAGCTTCTTCTCTGGTTTTTGAGTTATTTTGTGTTCTATAAAAACACCTACAATATGGCCGCTTTGTACATATGCACGCACACACAGATTTCCATTCTTTTTGCATTCAGTTGGATCTATTTGCATTGCATGGCTGACTCAATGGGAAAGATTGCCTCATCCGGCGCTAAAAACAGGATCCAGGAAAGGAACAGCTTGGGAAAAGGCTGGCAGTGGTTTTTGTCTAAGTGACATGAACACACACACACACACGCACACACACACACACATACTGAACCAATGGCATCATGCATATCTGAGGGAGACACACAATCGACTACAGGTGTGTATGTTTATACTCGCCGCACACAAACCAATAAGAAACACATTTAAAGCAACACTACAAATGTTATTTTCCCATAAATAATGCGTGCTGTTTGTCCCAGCACAAAGAGTAATAGTAAAAAAAAAAAAAAAAAGAAAAACATTTTGCTTTCTCCATCCTAATATAACACTTTTTTTTCTCTCAATGTAAGAAAGAACCTTTGGGCTGAAAGCTGGTTTGGATGAACAAGAGCAGTTATCTATTCCACATCTTACCAATCTGGTGGGGAAAAAAAACACATTTCCTTATATCGATTGATCTTGATATTTTCTTCTAATTTCACAGACTGGAGCAAGCAGGCGCTACATTAAATAGTGCATATAATCCAAACATTGAGAAAGGTAAAAAAAGAGGTAAAAACACATCATGTCTGTCTCCAATGTGGAAGTGTGTCTTCTCATCCACTCCAGGTCTGTTTTTGACATTTTCACAAAAATCTTGCCATTTTGGCCCTCTCGTTTTTATTTTCCTTAATAATACATGTTTGCTTCAACAGAGAGAGTCTTATTTTAACTTTATTTTACAAACATCACTATTGGGACAATTTGGGATGAACGCTGAGCGAGGGTGATCCTTTCTTTTTCACTTTTCTCCTGATTTTAAGATGTGAGATGCCAAAAATACATACATGTGGAAACTAGAGACAGACCCAAGCTGTTTCAGAGATAGGGATGATCGTATTATATTGTTGTGTTTGTTGTTTGAAAGTTAGGTACCACAGTTTTAATGGAGCATAATGCATTATAATTTTACATATTCTAAAATCCAATCAAAAGCGCCATATTCACTAAGAAACTTTGGCCTATTTTCACCCTGCATAATGCACACCTGCACTCACCAACCAACCATGCTAACTTGATCCCATGAACCCGACGTCACGCCATTCGCTCGCCACACAAACACACAGAGGTGCGGCGGCATGAGAGGAAAGTGTCACATGCATTCAGAAATGGGTGACAATCAACAAACGCCATAACACATAAACATGCCATGGGGATTGCTTCCACCAGAAGAGGCACACACAGACATATACTGTCCTCGACAATGGGCCTGCTTTGTATTTGCTCATTAACATGTTTATGTTCATACCACAACAGTGCGTGTCCGTATTTGGGGTAGCTCAATGGGCTCCGTGAATAGCGGCTAGCATTGCGCACAGCCTCTGTAATGACAGCGAGAAATAACAAGGCTATTCTCTGCGTGGAATCGGAGAGGGGAACACGCTTGTACGGGGAGACAAAGGCCGCCATAGAGTTCGCACACATCCACATCCAGCGCACGGTCTCGCTCTCTCCCAGGCCTCCCACGGGTTATAAATAGAAAAACACACAACTCCAAAGTTTACCTACACAGGCTCTTTTGTTTCCACAGGGAGCACGCACACGTTTGCATAGGAACGCGCCAGAAAGAGATTGCAAGTAGAAGTAGACACCGGGACAGATGCAAAGTAGCTGAGACTTGTCTTCTCCCTGTTGCAATTCACAGTCTGGAGTAAGGACTATTTTAAGAATACATTTACAATCTCGGTTTTAATAGTAGCATTGTGATCATAGGAATTCTGAAACAGAGCGAAAGAGCATGGAATGGGACAACAGATTGTGCAAAGAGACAAAGAATGTGTGTGTGTGTGTAGTGTGTACTTGACTTGATTAAAAAAAACATATTCACTGAACAGAAAGAGCCCTGTAAACATGCGAACAAATCAGACCCCAACAAGCTGGATTTATATTATTGAAAACCGGGAATCTTTTGTATAATTGTAAGTAAGTAAGAAAGCGCCTTACAAGAATGAGCCTTGTGAGTCACTATTGGATGCTTTGGGCTGAGAGCTCATGGGCTGAGAAAGAGTGGTCCCATGTTTTTAACTTTTCTGCCTGAAAAATATGATCTTAAGCTGTGACGGAGGCTAAAATATATCTGCGTTTAAAGTGATAGAACTGTTTTAACCCAACTGTTTTGAGAGTGAGGCACAACTTAAATGTTAGCAGTTAGAAAATTAGGTACCCCAGCTTTAATAAGGGTCATGCTAGTATACGGTAATTCATATCCATAGATTTCTATCAGCATTTATATTCAATTAAGAAATCGTCATCGTACGTTCTATTGTGCTGCGTGGGAGACTGGTTCTAATTAATCTGTGTTGTTGTTGTCACCTGTAATAATATCTCTTCGGTGCTATAAAAAGCTTCTAATATTGTTTTGGAAAGGATAAGTAGCCCTGGCCAGAACAATTGTGCCGTGTCCTCCCAGTTTCTATTGATTGAAAACATGTTCCATTGAATATGTGATAATAGCCGTCGTATCAAGTCTCCAAAGGAACTGTCTGAAAAACAATGTTGTGGTTTAGTCCTCCTTAGACTTCTCTGACCACAGCTAATCCTCAATGTTTTTCCATTTCGCCTATTTCCAGCTAATACGCGGCTTAAATGTTTTTAGATCTCCCCAAGAATGCTATTATGTTTCGGCAGGGAGAACAAGAAACGCAAATCCTTGACCCTAGGGTGGGACTACACACAGACATTTGCGATGTTGATGCTGCCAGGAAACTATAATAGCACATCAGTTGTCATTCTGAAGGGATAACGTTATAATTGGTAATAGTTTCTGTCTACTACTGTCCTCAGAAACAACTGCTATTGCACTGGGTAACAAAAAAATATTTGTTGAAAATAGTCCAGGGTTTTCCAGCTGAATTAGACTAATGTTGATGCTCTGAGTCTTGGTTTTGCTCAATCAGGTCAGGATTTTTTGCTACAGAATTTTTTTTTAAATCGATTTTGCGTAAATAACAAATTTCTGCGGATCATCAGCTGAGAAACCCTTGACTTTTTTTCCGTTTTCCTCAAGAAATAAAAGTCAACGTGTCCAAAGTCATTCCGTTTTTATTTACTCGATCAAATTCGATAAGCAGAATCCATAATAACGTAGACGTACGTAATCCGTAACACTATGGCTGTATCTCAAAAAGTTGACCTGATAGAGCAAAATGCATGTGATATTCAGACTCAGAACATCAAAATTAGTCTAAATCAGTTTAGAAACCCCTGACCATTTTTTGGCTGTCAACTTGTGTTGTGATTCAGGGCTATACAAAAAAAATACTGAATTGAAGTCTATATTTCTCATGCAGGCCACTTGTACTCTAATAACCTGAATGCCTAATAGAAACAATGCATACTGAAGTTATGTAAGCACTGTACTTACCTAACAACCAAAGAAATACGAAACTATCTGTCTGTCCCTCCTAACAACTGCATACCTGTAAACTGGACGATGCAGCACTACAGCATGCCTCATATAATATCATATGTCTTGTTATGTTAAGACCTAGAATTCATCTGATACTTGAGATCAGCACTAGTACGCACCTATGGAAGAAATGACATGATGAGAAACTAGATGCTTTTAATTCATTCATTAAATCTGGGGACCAAACGTTAAAACCATAAACAATTAACTACAAAATCCATGCAACTACTGTAGATCTCAAAAAGGTTTGGTTTCAGTCACACGTTTTCTGTCTGTTTAGATCAGATTTGTCAGTGAAATATAGAGGACAATTTTCCGCCAAGTCTCAGTATCTATCCCTTTTCCAATCCATCCATCCAATGTTTAAGTAAATAAGTAATCTTTATTTATATACCGCCTTTCACAGACCAGAGTCACAAAGTGGTTCACAATTGTTATTTTTGGGCATTTGTCCTCTCACTCCACACAGAGATGGGAGCGGCGTCGCCAGTACAGGAGGCACATGCCAGACCTATTGCACATGTGTTTTTAGTGGTAGAGAAAACCGGAGTACCCGGAGGAAACCTACGCAGACACGAGGAGAACATGCAAACTCCACTCAGAAAGGCCCT